ACAGGTGCAGTCGCTCCATCTGGCTGTCTCCGGGTGTGCTAATTGAGCTGGGATCTATGACAAACATAAATGCATTCGGGGAGGACCCAAATATTTAACATTTCTATAGTTGGAAAGCAAAATGCTCTTTCGAAATCATTCCTAAAGCGGAGGCTTCTTTAAATGAGTTTATTCTTAGATGTCTTGCAAAACTTCCCTTGAAAAACGTTTAGAGAAAGATTAACAAAAGCCTTGGCAATATATCGCCTACCTCTTGAAAGAGTATCACAAGTCAAAAGTCGGCTTAACGATCATTGACTAGACCATTTGCTATATAAAGTGGCATATGCAAATATGCCGACGATTAGGCCCAGTCTGTGGCCTCAACATCGACTGGGACTGGTTGCTGGATCGGATTGGGCAGACTTCTGGCTACCGACTTCAGACTACTGGCATCTCCGACTGCCGCCGGCCGATTAATCAATGATAAATCCGAAATAGATAAATGACCAGGCACATGGCAAATGTTGTGTGGTCCCCTTTGCAGGACTGATCACCTGCTGTTGCCTCTCCTGGGCCTAGAGGTTCCAATTCCTTGGCCAAACCCAATGGGCCTGCTCCTCTTTCCTTGGCCCGTGTAGCGGGTGCAAGATAAATGCCCCACTGATGATGCTGACAGAGAGCTAGTCGCCCTGCAATCGTCTGGAATCCAGGGTCCATCCCCTTGCACCGTCATCAACATCAGTATTCACCCTTTTTGGGCATTGTCAATGTTCCGAGACGCATTTGCATCGTACGGTTAATTGTGACCGCTATTTGTTGACCAATTGTGGGTGGCAGCAGCACCACAGAAGCAGTTCAGCACCACCACTGTGCCACCACCAAATTCGATTTGTTTGGAGGAGGAATTCTGCATATGTCAAAAAACTGGAAACTGGTTTGGGCTGCGATTCTTTTATTTACAATTCCCTTTCACAGAGACTATTAGTTGGCCAGAATGGTATCTTCAAAGTTTAAATTAAGAAAAGTTTTAAGGGCTTAAAATATTATTTTCTTATTTAAAATAAGAATTTTGAGAAGGGGGCATCTAAAAGGACTTTAAGTAAGGGTAATGGCCACTTCGTTGCTAGCATCTAACGTCACCGTTTGTGGCATTGGCTTGGTGCACTCTGTGACTCCAAGTCCTGGCCTAGGTTCGCACAGGTGGCACTTTGAGCTAGAGAGAGCTAGAACTGCAGTGGCCGGGTCCTCTTACGAGCTTTGCCCTCGTTAGCTCAGCACGTAGCTGTTGCAGCTAGCCGGATATCTATATATAGCCAACTGGTGTGATTTTGATTCATGGCGCGATTATATGTGCGCACGCAGTTTATCTTCTTTTCTTTTTTCTCGAGATTTTTCAAGTTTTTTTTTTATTTTAACAGCACAGTAGCTTGGACTCAGCATGAAGGCTTGAAATCTGAGGAAGAGGCTCGATCCTCTTCGCCCCATGCCTGATCCCTTCCTTGTGGCACTTAACATTTTATTGTTAATAAAATATATTACAAGGCGCAATACAAAAGGCCAACCAAGCTGTGTGCCAGCCAGTTCTCCGCTGCTTTCAGACCCAAATGCGTTAACGAAATCATCTGCCGCATCCTCCGGCCTCTTTGAGAACCCCCCTCAGGTGAGGATCACGGATCCCTTGCCATCCTCCGCCCCTGGGAATGTCGCGTGAGTTCGTGTCGTACATTTAACGCGTGACTTCTTTTGAAAATTGTTCATAAATTTTGCGTTTAACAGTAGCAGAAAGGCAACGGAAAAAGTCCAACAAAAGTGGGGCCAATACAAGACCGTTGAAGGCTAAAACCAGGGAATTTGGTAAATGCATTTCTTGTTCTTCCATGAAGTTTTTAAAAAACTCAACACAAAAATGACTTCACAAATCCGACAGATCTGCTCATCTCTGGCTGCCTTTCGCTCATTATAATGCAAATGCAATATATAGACTTGAATGAGTATACGAGCATTGGAGTATTTCTAATTAATAACACACAAAATGTAATCAGCAATGTTAATTAGGCACATCCGCTGCTCAACTCATTCAGCGTTGTCACCTCCACTCCGAGTTTCATTCATAAAATCTGACGCAGTCACAGTTTTCGTTCGACTGCTGCCCACATGGCAGACTGTTGCCTGAATTTGCATAGTTCGTAAGCCAAGTCAGGTAATCTGTGGCTGCTGTAGTAAAAAAAGGCACAAAATCGTTAAAGATTTTGTGTGTGCTTGTTTTCGATCATTTTCGATTCAAAATGCCGTTGTTGAGAATTACCAAACCGGTTACCAGGTTATGAAACTGTTTCTGCTTCAGTGTATCGGTTTGTGGATTTTGGGTTTTTTCGATTCTGCTGATTTTATGAATGAAAGAGCGTAAAATTTGCATTTCAGTTTGTGAAACACGTGAAGTGTCCCTCCAGATTACTCATACGCCCGGTGATCTTTCAAACGAAGAGCAGTTCAGTTCCGCCAAGAGATGTTTGCGGGAAAAAGCTGATTCTATTATGAATCAACATTTCTCTGACAGGTGGGCCAAACTGATTCATCTTTGCAGCCACAATACAAGTCCACTTATTCAAATAAGCAAAATGAATTATTATTAATTTATTATTTCCGGTGCCGCTCGAATTAAATCGCTGCCAAGCTCAAACAGATACACAAATAATAATAAATGGAGGTGCCTACATATAGAAATGTTAATGTATCTAATGCTTCAAGCACTTGTCAATGTTCTCCCGCCGTCTGTTTGTTTCTCTCAATGAGTTATCCCCGCAAAAACCCCCAATTATGTCGGTGGCGAAATGATACTTCAGCTGGCCTGCCTTCAGCTCGCCTTTCCAAACAAAAAGCCCCAAAGACGAGGTCAGATCCCAGCTAGGCGATCGACCAACTGCCTGACTGACTGACGGCCACGATCTGGACGATCGACGTTAGACAGGCAATTTGTAGACTTTTAAAATAGTTTCCAATGGAACCCACCGGCCAGCCGAAAGGCACTCGGCCAGACAACCTGTGCGCTGTCCGATCACCGAAAGCGATTGACCACAACAAACACTACAATAAAGGAGTTGCATTTTCAAAGATCGAGGTACTTAATACTCTTGTTAGGAGACTACTACAGACTATAATTTAAGCAAAGCATCCCATAAAGTTTTTAGATTGTATACATTAAAAGAACTCTTAAATCTTAAGAGCTTCTATAAAGTTAATAATATTTTTTGACCTTTCCTTTCTTCCCTCTATACCTTTTGGGAAGAGTATGAAAAGCGCATGCAAATTAATAGCCAACTTTGGCCAAAAATTAATTGATCACTCGAGACAGGCAACATTGCAGAGATTGCAGACCAGCCGAATTGGACAGATCGGCAGACCGACAGACCAACAGAGCGACAGACGATCGATCGATGGCTGGCTGATCGCCGCGAATTATTTCGGGGGGAGACTGGGGGAGCCTAAGTGCCCGCATACTCCAGAGCTGATCACAGACTTCCTGAGGTAGCCAGCTCGCGATTAAGTTGGTGAAATGTTTTTTCATGGCTCCATGAACAAATTTCAATTAACATATTCACGCAATAATTGCAGGGGTCTCGCGGCCCACGTAGCCTGTGGTCAGAAAAACAAAAACACAGCATGATCGAGGCCCACGCCGTAATCCCCGGCAGACACGTGTCAAACTTCCGATCATTAGGAGGGGACGGTCGCTCATCGCACCACGCCCACTCGGAGCCACTCTGAGCTAGGGTCCTAATTAATAAACAGACAAAACAATTTTTAGGGCCCCTCGGAGAGAGAAAAACATTCGGATTGATAAATTATCGAAAATGCAGTTTAGCGTGTGCCTTAGACAAAAAGATATTGAGATTAATCATTGGTCCATCATCCGATCGGATCCGATGCGTTGGCGATCCTCTGCAGTAATGCCGCCTAATTAATGATGCCACGCATGGAAAGCGATGGAAACTTGGTGGTATAATCCAGTGGGTCAGTGGAAAATAAAAATAATAAAAACCAGAAGCGGCCCATGACGGAATATCCAATGGAAAATATTTGACAATTGGATACAGTGGCGGAATCTTTAGAAAATTTATGAGATGAGGCCATAACAAGATCGATTTGAGGATTTGAATGGCAATAAAAGAATATTTATGTCTGTAGTGAATTTTGTAGTACTGCATCCAATGCCATTAGAAATAAATGTGCATCTGAATATATAGATTTAGCAGGTTGATCAATTGAATTATTACTTAGACTTTTTCGGTTTCCACACCCACATTAAGTCATAGCAATTACCGTTGATCTCTGACTTAAACCGGCTCATAATCAAGACACAATTTTTAATTTAAACTCGCCCCACTGAATAGTCCCCGAGTATTAGACACAATGTTGCAAGATCGCTTAGATCGCAGCCCCGCCACATCCCACAATTGTAAGTCGGACAACATTTGGCCCCTGGCTGGCAACTACTCATTGCAAATACCCCTGCTTGCCGCCGGACCCGGGCTTGACTTGAATATCGGACACTCCACAAATCTCCCGCAATTACAATACTTTATAAACTTATTTTTCTTCTGCCATCGAGGGGCTCGTATTATCGTCTAATTGCATCGCCGACGCTCTTGGCATTTAGCGCGTCAACAAACGAGCCGCCAACGCCGCGACCCCAAGCCCCATACCCCCAGCCACCAGACACCAGCCCCCAGATCACCACCCCCACCCCTTAATCCTATCGCACCTCGGCTAAAAACAAAAAAAGTCAGAAACATAGAAAAATAATAAAAACAACAGAGTGGACCGCAGGCCGTTCCATTCATCATTTTTCGTTTAGTGACGCGCGTGCCTCGTGCGCCTCCAATCGAGTGTTATTTTTTTCACAGATTTTCAAATTGAGACGTCATGATCTTTTCGTCGTCGTCGTCTTCGTCGATTTCCTCAGTTCCCCTCGGTTATGACTATAATGCTTTTTTTTATGAATACGTACAACATTTATTGTTTCATAAGGCACTGCGGGGCATGCAACTAATCCTAGAATAGAACATTGTTGTACTTAGGAGCTACGAGTATAATTAAGCGAGTATAACTGCGAATACTACAAAGATCAGTACAATAAGAAATACAACAGAAATACAACCGAGCCTTATCATTATGTGTAACATTATCTTAGGTTCAATCTTAAATAAAATCTAGTTTATAAATTCGAATTGCTTACTATTTTTGGTTGAAGGCCTTTGGTGAATAAATTTAATGGATTTACAATCTTAAAAATAACTTTATATACATTTCTAGATTCCTCCTAGACAAGTGTTGTGACAAAAGATTTATCAACGATTATTTTTTTTTTAAGTTTTCCATAATCTTCTTTTTAAAAAGTTTATAGGTTTTTCCCGAAAACGTTTTTTGTTATTGGATATTATTTTTAGGGAACCCCAATCGTTATTAGTTATACCACTTCTGCAGGTTTTCCGGTTCGTCCTCCTCCTCGTCACTTGTAGAGGGTGGCGTGTCCAGGTTGGCAATATCCACATCCAGATAGTCCTCCTTGGCCTGCAGCAACTTATCCATGTACTCCACGATTTCCGTGAAAGGTGGCCGATCATCGGCGTTAAAGTGCCAGCATTGTCGCATGAGAATGTAAATGTTCATGGAGCATTTCGCCGGCTTCTCCATTCGCTGCCCTGATACCAAGTAGCCGTAGAGCTCCTCGGCATTGATCGTGGGGTATGGCTGCGCTCCATAGGTCATGATTTCCCACAGGAGAATGCCATACGACCAGACGTCGCTCTTGGAGTCGTAGAACTTCTCCTGCAGGGACTCGGGTGCCATCCATTTGATGGGCAGCCTGCCGTTGGTGTTCTTCCTATAGTAGTCGGTGCTCTGGATATCCCTCGCCAAGCCGAAGTCGGCTATTTTCAGGACATAATCGTCGGTCACAAGGACATTCCTGGCTGCCAAGTCGCGGTGGATGCATCGCCGGGAGGCCAAGTAGTCCATTCCCCGTGCGATTTGATGGGCAAACTTAATCAGATCTTTCTCGGTGATGACGTGGGCCGGCGGCGAAGGTGGTGCCTGTGAGCTGTCCCTATCCTGCTCCCTTCCAAAGGGTCTGTTATTGAAGAGAAAGTCCTTGAGATTGCCATAGGGAGCATACTCGACGATCACATAGAGTGGCCCGTTTTGGCTGCAGCAGCCCAGGAGGTTTATAATGTTGATGTGACGGCCAATTATCTTCATCACCTCCATTTCACGCACCAGGCTGGCTATGTCGTCGTCGGTGTGACCCTCCTTCACCATTTTGACCGCCACTATGGCATTGTTGACCTCCGCCATGACCACGCGACCGAAGGCGCCCTCACCCAAGGTGGCGCCCAAAACGAGCTGACTCCGTGGCAGCTCCCAGTTCGAGTCCAGGGGGAATTCGTACTCGTTGAAGGGAGCCGGCTCATTGCCGCTCTGCAGGACAGTGGTGCGCTGCTTCTGGATCCTCACCACTGGCATTATCATGGTGTCCATGGAGCCGCTGGAATCGCCGCCTCCCTCCGGCTTGAAGATGATCACCTTCTTGGTCCACTGATGCACTGTCTCAATGCGTTGTTTCAATAGCTTCTCGTGCTTCATTTTTCTCACCGCATAGAAGAAAAACAAGAAGACCATGAGGACGAAGATGATTCCTCCGAAACCTATGAAATACATGTGGCTGGTGCGGTCCGTGACACTGGCGAAGCCCGCCTCGAATTGATGCAAGCTGCGGACCACCCGCAGATAGGCAGAGGCGTTGGTGCGACCCAAACTGTTGGTATTGACACACCAGTACCAGCCCTCCTGCTCCTCGGTGACGTTCACGAATGTCAGCTTGTCCTGGCCCCACCCCAGGACAGTTCGATTCTTGGAGCAGTTGGTCATCGCCTGGCACTGTATGAAGATCCAGGCCTTGGTGCTGGTCAAGTCCGACAGGTAGTTGCATTCCATCTCGCCGCTACTGTTCACCAGAAGCGTAAGATTTGAGGGGGGCAGAGTTAGGATGGGCTTGTGGTTGACCCGATTCGTCACCAGCACCTGGGTCTCGAAACTAATACAGCCCATGCCGTTACAGACCTTGCAGGTGTAGTTTCCGGAGTCGTCGGGCACCAGGTCGCCCATGGTAAGCGAGTAGCGCTTCCTTTTGACGCTGTGATAGCTGCGGGTCCACTCGCTGGTGCCGTTGCGGTACCAGGTGATATTCGGCTTGGGGTTGCCAATGGCATCGCAATTGAGTGATACCATGGATCCGGAAGGTCCTGTGTACAGGGCACTCATCTTCTTGGTGTTCCGCCAGGTGGGCTTTGACCAGGCGCTGCCCGGCACGTCAGGAGTGTGGTCATCGTCGTCGGAGTTCTCATCATCTGCATCGGGAACCGGTTGCTTGGCAGGAGTGGGTGCACTTTCTATTCCTGGGCTGGCAGTGCTAGATGGGCTCTTGCCACTTCTGTTGCCACTACCGTCGTAATCCCTGAGCAATTCCTGACTATTGGCGAGCTGCCGCCGCGCAGCAACCTGCAACGGTGGTTGCAACAAGAACAGCAGACACATCAGCAACAACGCCAGCGATCCGTTCGTCATTGTGATCTGTGAGTGACTGCTTCGCCAACTCCAGGCAGCAGCCATTTTTAGGATATTTATTTTTGTAACTCTTGCCAGAGGGGCAGCACCCTAAGAATGCGGCGGCAACAGTGCAACTGCAACTGCAACAGCAACTCCCTTGTCGGAGTTTGTCGCATGTGCTGCGTTGGTTTTTTATTCACCGGAAATCCACTTTAGAGTGCTCCGCTCTGTATGATGGCCCTTCCCTTGTGCTCTCTGCGGAAGAAGATCACCGATCTCTTCTAGTTTCTAATTTATGATGGAAAAAACAACAGTTGCCTCTTTAGTGCAGGGCCTTTGAAGTGATCCTCCCCCACTTCAATCCACCGACGATTGCAATCGGATGCCGATGTTGAAATGATGATGAAGACGATCCTCTTGATGATCAGCGATCGTTTGGGTGTAACGGAAATACACTTTCCCCCAAAAACAATGCCGCCGGATTTTAATTATTGTTTCGGTTGCCGTGCGTGTGATTTACTCAGTGAGTTGATGGATTTATGGCAGCCATCTTGTCACCAAAAGAGCTCCAATCGTGGGCGTAGATGATCGGTGATTCTATAGATCATTTGATGGCATGGATGGTTGCGACGGTTGGGGTGGCTCCCTCGGATCGTGTTTGATGTGACAGCAACACCTGGAAGAATGCATATGATTAGATTTATGGTCACATCCGTTGAGTGTATCACATCCCAGAAAACAGAACTATCTACCCCCTAAACAGGCCAAAACAAGTGCAAAAAATGCTTAAAGGGAATAGGATGTGTATCTTGCCATTCGCAAGATACATCCGCTGATGTCTTCCAGTCAATGAATTTCCTTTCGAATTGTTTATAGAACGCTTTTATTTTGAGCATTTTTCGCAGAGATTCTTTTTGGACTTGACTTGATTAAAGGCCATTTTCATTTGGTGAGCTTAATTAAAATGTCGCGCACATTTCCGGTAACTTGTTCGGCATTCCTCTTTCTCTTTCCCGCTCTGATTTTTGTTATGGCTGTCCAGCGCGTGCCATAAATTAAAAATGGTCCAGAGGAATGAGCTCAGAATGTTCCGCAAGATACCCCAACCAGCACTAGGATGGAAAATCGGCTGGGGTTTTTCTTCTTAAACGCGTTGCATATTTTATTGATATTGAAAATAGCTTTATGGCCACGGGCACATAAAAAATATTCGGCTATCGCTTTTTATACCCCATTAAATGGCGACCTGTCTGTGGCTTTACCTTTTGCGCCGCAAGAGAAACTTTTCACCCTTCTCGACTTGTTGTCGGACGTAAAGATGCGATTCTATATTTACTTCGCCCTCAAATGCACGCACCACTCTTTTAAGTTGGATTCTATTTTTTGCACAATTCTTCGCCGCTGCCCTAGAGGGGGACGAGACACATAGGTTCTTCCAATAATTTTGCACGAAGTGAGTTTGTACGGAGCCAGACGAGAACTGTTCCAAATTGGGCTGCGTAGTCAGATGTACTGAATGTGCCCAATGCCAATTCCCATTCCCAATGATCGCGCACGATCTCCTCGCTCTTTCTCGCCTCGCCGGCGCTCTCTTTCTGCCCCTTTTTCTCAATTTCTCCCACCACACGAAATGTCCTACTCACTGCGCCGGCGTCGGGACAGAACGACTCAATTTAGTGGGCCCTCGAGCTGCTTACACTTCTGCCGTTATATTTCCAATGCCTGCAGCTTGTTGTTGCAATACCCTGTAGGCTGTCAGATATGATGGTTCTATCGAAAGGAAGGCATAGTTGGCTGTGCATTAGACAATAGTTTTCAACAGTTTTGAGATATTTGGTTCTGATTTGGAATTTTCAATTATTTTTAAAAAATTTTAAAACAAAAAGTGAATGATAGGATGCTAGACTATATGAATCTATCTCAAAGATGTGTATCTAAAAGATATCTATCTCAAGAATACCTACCTCAAAGAATATCTGTCTCAAAGAGACGTATCTGACAGATATATCTTAAAATATCTATCTCAAAGATATTCATTTCAAAGATACATATATATCTCAAAGATATTCTCAAAATGTTTAGTTTTTAAAATAATCTATCTATTTACTTATAATTCTTTATTAGAAATCTTTGACAAAAATCTAGTCGTTTCTTTTTACTTCTCATAAAAGTATCTTTTTGGCAAGAATGTACGTGTAGGACTAATTTCTATCTCTAGGATTCTAAGTACAAGTTTTTCCACCTTTGAACCTTGAGTATTTAGTTTCTGCATACGAGGTACCCTTATAGTCGAAAATATATTGGGTCGAAGTGCACAAAAGTCGCTTTGTTGCCTTCTGGCTCAGTTTGTTGGTCGTTGCCGTCTGCTTCCCGCATCTTTTCGCTTTCAACGGCAGCCTTAATTTTTCACATATGCTCGCCGCCCGCTGCCTCCCCTCTAGCAACCTCATTTCACTTTTTCTCTTTATCCCCGGGTGTCTCTCTCGTCTTTAATTAAAACAGACACAGTCGCTCTCCGAGCTGCTCTGATGATCTTTCCAGTCAAATTCAGCCCACATCTGGCGCAGAACAAAAAATTAAAGAAATTAAAAACAACAAAACAAAAATGAGAAAAATGAAAAAGGAGAAAAACGCCCGGAGGAGAGACACTGTTGTCTGTTCTCCGGCCTTCCGCCCGCCCTTTAGCACGCCCACTCCCGGAGTCGGACGCGGACGCGGACTCGGATCGGAGTCGGGAGTCGGAGACAAGGGCAAATATTGTTTCGGTTTGCATTTGGTGCTCTATTGTTGACTGCAACATGTGGGCACACCATCAGCATCGGCCAGGGAATATGTGTGTGTCGGAAGATACATTTACCTAAGATCGTGCCACATATGTTGCACAGACATTGTCCCTGCTGCTCGCCGGCGACGCGTCGAGGGGAAAACGAGACCGACTGAAAGCCGACTCCCGCGAGAAAACCGCGTAAAAGGGGTTGGGTTATCCAAAACAAAAATTTGACTTCCAGGAAGGCATATGCCAAATCGGAAATTGCCGAAAAACTTTCCCTCATCCCTCAACCGGCTGACCTTCACCCCCATCGGAACCGAAAAATCAGTTTATAGTATATTTCCTGTGCAAAATATCCGAAATTGCCGAAAATAAAACAAAGTGCAAAGTATTTGCAAAAGTATACACAGAACATTCATCACCTATTGATCCAAACTGGCGGTCAGATCCCATCCCCAGCGCATGGGTTCAACCAAGTGACGCACTTGGTAACCCCAACCTCCACCTCTGGGTACTTGTGCTTCCGCTCCCAAGTGGTGGAGATCGGCACGAGTCTGTAATTTTGCACGGTTCGCCGGCAGGTTCTTCCCATCCAGAAGTTCACCCATCCATCCAACCATCCGAAAAATGCATCAGTGTACGTGACACCGCGAAGGTTGAATGTTTCTCAGGGAAAGTCGCCAATGCTACAAACTTTGTAGTACAAAGTATGCTTTTATAAGGTCGAATGAGGATAAATAATATAATTTCTAATTTTCTTTAGAATTTTAGGACTTAAGAACCAGGCGCTCAGTGTGTACAAGAACTAATAGATAGTCTTAGATAAAAGTCTATAAGTCATGGCCATTTTCATACTTAATAAAACAATATAAGTATTTGGTAATATCCTCAAAAAAAGATACTAAAAAACCCATAAATTCAATGATAGGTAAACGTATGGATATGGAAAACAAATCAAGGTAATGTTAAACTTAAAATTTTATTCGATTCACTTGGTTTGTTTCAAAAACTTGCTCCCTGATCAAAAGACTATCCCGATATACCTGGGTGATCACACCTTGCATCCAAATAATACCAGGAATCGGCCAAGCAATTAGCTAAACAAACCCAACCTTAATAATGATTTAAAAGTGGGATCGCAGATCGGCGGGTAGAGAACGCCTCGGAGAAAATTGAGTGACTGCCAAAGGCATCGGAACAGATACGGTAGCCGAGAGAAGATGGCATCGTAAAGCTCCCCAATCGACACAACAGATACCAGATGAATATACACAAATATCGAAAGTTATATACATACAGATATAGAACAAGTCGGACAAAGAGCAGACAAGTTGAAATGTTTGTTTACACGGCTAGAAAATATTGCATGTTGCCTATCGGGGGCCCAGGATCGATGCTAGTTCATAAACAAACGCCCCACGATGGGTAGAGCCGAAAACTAAATTATGAATATGAAATATTTTGTGGGCTCTGCCCTGGGCTGCCCTGATGTGCTGCTAAAACAAATAAATAAAATAAATTAGATGAAAAAAGCGCTTTCAATTTGAGCAAGAACCATAACAGAATAGTAAAAAACAGAAAATCGTATAGTGGATCCAGATTGTGGCCGTATTCCATATGTATGTTTTTGTATTGGGGGTAGCCGGACAACAGATAATTGAACGATTGACTACACACAGCGAGATAAACGACACAAATTGCTTTGGTTCACCAACATGGAACCACTGCAGCGCATTTTACACTTTTTGGCCTTTGGGTGAAAAGTCAAATTGCTGTGCTCGGTCAATCAAAAAGTAGACCAAACAAATGATTTGCGCAATTACGCAAATGGCAAAGAAAAAAAAAAACAATAAACCGAAGACTTGTTGTCTATACGTACACATTTATAATAAATAGTAACAAAACCATATATTTTTAAAGACTTACCTCACATGTGTGTTGCTCCAAAAAAACAAAACGGAAAAAGCTTCTTGCCAAATCGCCCGGTATCCGAGTATCCAAGTATCCAAAGTGTCTCTGCCTTGGAATTTCTCTTGCCTTCGGTTAAAATGTAAATGTTTCACCAAAACACAATTGAGAAAGTTCACAGAATTCGAGAATGTTTCCACTTAAAATTCTTGAAATACTTTAGTACGTATTTATGCGGCACTTAGGCACTAAAACAGAAACCAAAACGACTGCACACTTGACTCTGCCGCTCTAGGTTGTTTCTACGATTTAGTGTTAGTTCCATTTGCATGAGTATCTGTTTGTACAGTGCGCAATTTCTAATAAATATTAGCCACAATTATTGAGCGATATATTGGCAGATCGATCGACGCTCTCTGGCCGCTGTTCGCCTCCCAGTTTCCTCCGATTTTCCAACTATATTCAGTTGCAGCCCGATCGCAACTGAAAAGGCATCGTCAGCCAAGTCGAGCCAAACCGAAGCAACCCAAGCGAACGCCGCAAAATAAATCTCTTCAATTAAAGAGGGAACAAATGGAACGAATTCACATTCAAATCCCCCATTTCGCTGGAGAATACAACATCTCTTCAATGTGTTTTTGCGGCAGCAGCATAAACAAAAACACAAAACACGAAATTTGAACAGCCACCACACATTGTAGATCCCCAGAAAGAGATATAGGGGAAGGGATGCACCGAGAAAAATCTAGAATTCAAGAACCATAACCATAAGATATTTAAGAACCAGGGCCGTAGCTAGAGCCTCGGGGGCCCTGGGGCAACAAGTAAATTTGGGGCCCCTATACGAAAGTCTTTTGCCCCGCGGGGCCCCTTCCCTTCGGGGGCCCTGGGGCACCGCCCCACCTGCCCCATGCCAGCTACGGCCCTGTTAAGAACCAATATATTAGGGTATCCTTTCAA